TGCGCGGGGCCCGCTCCCGACCCAGGGAGCGGCGCTGGCGGGTGCGGGAGGAGCTCCAGAATGCCCGGGTGAGTGTGCCCCGCTGCCCCGCGCCCGAGGAGCAGCGCCCCGGAGCCGCGACCGCTGCTGCAAAGACACGCAGCGCCTGTTTGACCTTCCTCGTGGCGGGGGATGGTTTCGTTTGGGAGGATCCCGCCGTGGGGTTGACGTGGTGGGGGTCCTTCCAGCCCCTCTGCCTTCCTGTGCTTGCTGGTGCTTGCATCAAGAGCAGGGGCTGCCCTAGAGACCAGTAAACCCCTGGCTCCCTTACAGACCAGTAAAGCAGAAAAAGGAAACACTGGTGGTCTCAGGGTCACCCCATAAACATGCCTTTCGGTGCAGGTCTCCGAGGGGGCGTAGGGGCACTCGCTCTCCCTGCGCGGGGAGCTGTACAGCTACGGGGTCGTGCTCCAGCTAATGGCCTTCCCTTTGGCCGGGCGGTTTGCAGGAATACATGCTGGCTCATTGTGCGTGACTGGTTTCTCCTTGTTTCTGCCTGTTAAATTGTATGCCGCGTCTAAAATGGATCACGTTCGTGTGTGCTCTGCCACTGAGAAAATTGTGGTCCTTCGGAGATGAGCTGTCTCTCCCATCTGTAAAGAGTTGTGTGGTGCTTGATGGCCAAAACTTGGCTCCCTGTAAAGTGGAAGCTGTTTGGAGAGCCTCATTATGAAATGCTCTACAGAAATGCAAAGGAGTATATATTTTTCGTGTTTTTTGCTTTAGCATTTTCGTGGAAGAAAAAACCGCTGCTATGGTTTGGCCATACGGTATATTCACAGAGCTTTTGTGAAGGCTACAAAGGCCAGAAAATTGAAGAAGAGATTCATGAGAACGGTAAGGACCAAAATATTAGATGTAAAACAACCTCCAGCCTGCAGGTCAGATGTGGCCTGCGGAGCCATGGGATGTGGCCCCCAGGGCTCACCGTGGGTTGGGAAATTTGGCAGCGGGGAAGTGGTGGCAATTAATACAGCCACCCTCCCCTGCTGGCAAAGCCCGGGCATGGCCTGTCGGGCCCAATGGGCAAAAAGGTTGAGCACCGTTGATGCAAACAATAAAAGCAAGAGAAACTAGAGCTCAATTTGATATTGCCCTTGCTCTGGTTGGGGGATCCCAAAATGCTTCACGGTGCTGGTGAAGAAGTGCTGAAAGCTCATGCACTTTGCCACCTGCAGCAATAGGAAACTTAAGAAATCTGTAGCCGTGAGAAGACATTTTTGTCAGAACACACTGTGTTCATTCGTTAACTCTGAGCAAATCCACATCTAGTTCTGTAACAAAAAATACTCCGTCAGCTGAAATGTTAACTTATTTATATCTATCGTTTGGGTTTTTTTAAAGCTCTGGATTACTAGGATCGAAGCAGCCTCTCTTGAACATGGTTTGAAGTATCCAGGTTTTATAAGCAATCTTAGTAAGGTAAGTTGCTGGCTTGAAAAATAATTGTACTGAGGTGTCTAGCTGTCCAAATGTCCTGTAAGGGTAAACTTACTTACACCCAAAAAGCCTCACAGTTTTGTTGAAGAACGGTTATTGATTCTTTTTCCTGATCACTTCAGTAACAGTCATGTTTTGTAATCACATCTATTTCTGCACTGTTTCATCTCAGTAGGATAGAAGCATCAAAAGACTTATATTCTACCTTTTCTCTGCCAAGTTTAAATAATCACCATTGTCATTTGTATTTAAAGGATCTTGTCAACATAAGTTACATAAACTTTCCTTACCCATGCCTCTACTTCACTTGCTCAGATTGAGTGGCCTTCCTCTTGTATTAGTTTAAGAAGTCTGAAAAAAAATAGAACTTGGGTTAGTAAAACCACATTTTAAATATCCAAATTGTCTTCTGATTGTTGTGGATTTCAGAGCATGGGCAATGAAATTCAATAGTCTCTTTCTCATGTCTACTCTTAATGCGGAGACACTTGTCTTTAAAAAAACAAACACAAAAATGGGAATTGTAAAATTGATTGCAGTGGAGTTGTAAAACTAGAATTGTTTTTATTGATTTTGTAAAAGCTTGTGTCCCTGCTCATTACTGCAGAGCACTATATATAGTATAAAGTAGTATACATAAGTGACAATGTCCTTCAGTATTTTCTCTAAGTTTTCCCCCCGCACATTAGGACTTCAGAGTAGTTGCATAGAAACCTTAAAAGTAGTCTCTTGATAAGTTAATTCACATACCCTCAAAGTTATCTAACAGTAAAGTTTTAACCAACTTATGCTAATACTTCCTCTTGTGACACCTGGTAACTAAGAGAATAATGTATTCTGTCTGGAGACTTGGATTTCTCCCAAATGTCTTTCAATTTTTTCCCCCCTCATATCTCAGAACAGTGCATCTGTCAGTCCCTGGGTTAACTTATCTGTAAGAACGTCCAGCCTACATCTGGTTTCTGTAATATCTTGCCCTTAGATAATCTACCCATTGTTCCATGTGTGCTATAAACATGGCAGTTTATAGCACTGATCCTGCAGTTCCTTCATTGCTAGATGCCTTTTAAGGGTCTGTTCTTGGGATGCAAAGCACTGCTATAAAAATCAGTGGGAATAAGCTGCTGTTTACCACCTCTTGAGATCAGGCCCCTAAAGGATAGCCAAGCTTTTAATTTTTTAAGGTGAAAATAAGTGGTATTGCCAAAGAATGTTACAGAGTCTGAAAAGCTATGCAAAGATAATTGACACACAGGATTTGGAATTGAAAACTGAATTTTCTCCTTAAATCTGCATCAGACATCTAGTGGCATGCTAACTCAATCAACCTTCTGTGTCTGCTGCTGCTTCTCTAAAGCGGAGAGCATACTTTATTCAAGGAGCTTGGAGTTTCTTGGCTGGGGTTTGGTACAGAAGTGCAAAATACTGTTCCAGTAAAAATTCTCGTCTATTTTTGGAATCTAGTTATCTTTCTTTGCTAGAATTTGAAAACTAGAGCTTTCAAGATAACCTGTAGTTTTCCATGAAGGAAATGATTACAACTGTAGGTGCTGGGGTTTAGTGAAAAGGTTTTCTGCAAACTTGTGGATGCGGTATTTTAGATTACGTTATGCATCTTGGTACATATGTGATAACAAAGAATATTGCTGTTTTTATCGGATAACACTTTCCAGCTGAGAGATTAACAAAAAAGAACCATGTGTCTTGCGAAGAGCTCCAGATAGAAAACTTTAAGCAAATTTTAATGCATCTTAAACACGCATTAAAATTTTATTTTAATTTTCTGTAATTAAAGTTTTCTCCTCTTAACTGATGATTATACTTTCTTTCAGTGCCAGGTGGATCTGAACAGGAGAATGCTTGCTGATTTGGCTATTTATGAGCCTAAGACTTTCAAATCCTTAGCTGCTTTAGCCCAAAGGAGAAGACAAGAAGGCTTTCTTGATGCCCTTGGAGATGGAAAAGAACCAGAAGGAATATTTTCACGTCTCGTGCACTATTATTAATGTGACGGACATAATCTGCAGTTGCAGAGGTTTGTTCTAAGTAGGGACCTGCCTTGTAATGTACGTTTGCTCCCTAAGTACAAAAAGGAAACAAGACCCTTCTTAGGTCTGGGTGTCGTTTTTCTGTTAGACTGATCCCAATGGGGCTTGGTAAAAATTGTCAACCAAACTCTGCATAGATAAATAATAAACCTTGTAAAAGTCATTTAAAAATGTAAACATTTCATTTTGTAACAGCCTAATAAAGATGTATTTGTTCTTTTTTTTTAATATTACAGAAGGCTTGGATGAGTTGCTGCTGAGGTTGCATTACAATAAAAGGTACTTGCAGAAATCTGATAACTACTACAGATGAAAGTAGCCAATCAGATATGTTGCACCTGCCATATCGAAGGTTTATGTTGAAAAGCTGTGGCTTAAAAGTATGATACATAAGAAATAGCTGCTGAAACTTAGTGAAAGGAAAGCTTTTAATATATTAGACTTGGTATTGTTAACGCTCCAGCCACTAGATCACATGTAAAATAAGTCACTTAAACATTTTATTTAAAAAAAAATAAAATAAAATTTACCAAAAATCTGTGGTATGAAAAGACAAAGTAATATATAGTCAATGATGCAGTTCCTTAATTTAAACATCAATTCATCTTGCCACTTAACGGCCAGACAGACTTAGAAGCTATTTTAATTGAAACTAACACAGAAACTTTTAGGATGTCTAGGTAGTGAGTTTGGTATCCAGGTCGTAGCCGTGTTGGTCTAGAGAAAAAAGCAATCGGGACTTGTGGTAGAATTGATACTTTTTATTACACCAACAAGATTTTTTTGCCACAAAAAATTCTTCAATTGCAAGCTTTCGGGCACAAACACCCTTCATCGGGCATCGGAGAAAAGATTGCAAAACTTCTCCTGGGTAGAAACGAACGTTCGCATTTCAGAGGATTTCACAGAGGAGTCGATGTCGGGGGTGGGGGACACAAGCTGTCCCGCGAGAGGGCGATAGTTTGACCCCAGCCTTAAAACTTGAGGAACAAGTTTGCTTTGTAGCGTCTTTTACTGGACTGGCTGTAAAGTTTGGAGAGGCGACGGGGCGTTCGGAAAGTTTGGCTCTCTCAGGGACCGACCAACCCTGTAGGGTGTTGCAGCGCCCGTCAACCTCCTAGCAGACACGGTGCTCGCTTCTTGCTCGCTCGGTGTTTGAGCGGAAGACGTTCTCTCGCACTGCGGCGGAGGGGGGGTGGATGCCAATCCCTGCCCTCCGGTGTAATCTTCCTCCGCCCAGCCATGGGGGCCTGATGCCACAAGAGGAGGCAAAACTGCAGGTTTAATGCAGGCAGGACTTGCTGTTTCACGCTGGAGTGGCCTGTTGCACAAGGAGGCCAGGCTGGGCCCTGCCTGCTGGCTTGGGTGTGTTGAGTAGGCCCATAAAGG